GGAGCGGTTTGCCGCCGAGTGTGAAGCATCTGGGATGAGAATCAGCTCCTCTAAATCCGACACCATGGTCTTGAGTCAGAAAAGGGTAAAATGCCTTCTCCAGGTCAGGGATGAGGTCCTGCCCTGAGTAGAGGAGTTAAGTATCCGGGTCTTGTTCACAAGTGAGGGAAAACTCGAGCATGAGATTGATAGGCGGATTGGTTCTGCGTCTGTATTGATGTGGGCATTGTACTGGTCTGTCGCGGTGAAGAGAGAGCTGAGTCAGAAGGCAAAGCTCTCGATTTACCAGTTGATCTACATTCTTACCTTCATCTATGGTCATGAGCTTTGGGTAGTGACCAAAAGATTGAGATCATGGATACAAGCGGCCAAAATTATCTTTCCCTGTGGGGTGTCTGGGCTTTGTCTTAGAGATAGGGTGAGAAACTCAGTCATCCGAGAGGGGCTTGGAGTAGACCCGCTGCTTCTCCACATCAAGAGGAGCCAATTTAAGTGGCTCAGGAATCTGGTTAGGATGACTCCTCCTGGATGCCTTCCTGGTTAGGTTTTCCAGGCACTTCCAACCTGGAGAAGACTTAAAGAAAAACCCAGGACACGTTAGAGGGACTATTGGGCCATTCCCATCTGTAACGGGTCGGCCCGGGCCGGTTAGCCCCAGTCGGCCCCAGCCTGGCCCGGTTGATTCCACACATTCTTGTCTTAAGCCCATGTGGGCTGATTCTACCCACCAATCAGAGGCTTGCTCTAATGGAAGGTGTGGATTTGCTGTCAGCAGTGGGTGTGTTGGCCCTGGTCGGCCTGAAGCAGACCCCTCAAGAAGAGGGCTGAGAATGAGCCTTGGTTGGCCCGCAAAAATACCAGGCCACCCAGATTTGTAAACAACCTACGCTACCCGGCCCGGGCCGACCCGGTACAGATGGAAATGGCCCATATGACTCTCAGCTGGTCAGGGGATGCCTTAGGATTCCACTGGAGAGGCTGGCCCAAGTGGATGGGGAGAGGAAAGTCTGGGCCTCCCGGTTTAGGCTGCTGCCCCCTGCGACCTGACTGATGATAAGTGGCCGAAAATGGATGGATGGTAATGATGTGTGTTTCTACCATGTCTGTCGTGTACCTTGACATGTATTGGTAATCTACAAATCAGACGTATCATTAATGACATTACAACAGAACCTCTTCTCCCCAGCATAGCTGCTACGTACCATCCATCCATCCATTTTCTGAACCCGCTTTGTCCACGCAGGGTCGCGGGGGGCGGGGGCTGGTGCCTATCTCCAGCGGTCAATGGGCAATCAGGCAGGGTACACCCTGGACAGAGAGCCAGCCCATTGCAGGGCAACACAGGGACACACAGGACAAACAATCATGCACACACACACCTAAGGGAAATTTGGACAGACCAATTAACCTAACAGTCATGTTTTTGGACTGTGGGAGGAAGCCGGAGTACCTGGAGAGAACCCACGTATGCACAGGGAGAACATGCAAACTCCATGCAGAAAGATCCCAGGCCGGGAAGCGAACCCAGGACCTTCTTGCTGCAAAGCAACAACTCTAACCACTGCACCACTGCCCAGCCCGCTGCTATGTACCACATGGCCGGATTTATGGTGGTTTTCTCCATATTTAATGCTCCCTCTGCCATCCTAGAAGAAGGATGCGAAGCTCGCTAAACTAATCTTCTGCTCGAGTTCATGTCTGGTTTGATGATTTAGAGTTGGTGAGACATGCATTTGTAGTCCTATGTTTTCACACAAAATCTCAAGTAACTTTTGCCACCGTTCTAAAATAAGCGCTTTCTTGCATCAAAATTTGTTTGAAATTCATGGGCATCCTATGTGAGCTCCATGGCTCATATCACACGGGATCAGAAAATAACTTGTGTTGCCTGATAGAGTCATTTTTTTGGCATAGACCAGAAGAAGATGGGTGTGACTTTAAGACTCCTATAGCCAAAATGGTCCTAATGTGAAAGACAACCAAGAAAACAACACGGTTGATAGCTGTCATGTTGCAGGTTAGGAGGAGGTTGGACCCAAGATGCAGACAACACCAGATGACACGAGGCAGGAGCAGTTTAAAAGTATTATTTATTAGGATGACGAACCAAAAATCCAAAATGGCAGGAGGCCAAAAACCAAAGTCCTGAATACCAGGAGGACGAAAGCTCAACATTGAGCACAAACCAAGATACGAGGCACAAAAGCTCACCTAGAGCACAAAAACCTGGAGACAAGCTGCAAAAGCTCACATAGAGCACAAAACAACGCTGACAACAAAACACAATGGACCGACAAGACATTGAGACAAAGATAGGGCTTATATACACTGGGGCATGATGGAAGGCAGATGGGCTGCAGGTGTGTGGAGAGGGAACCAGGTGAAAGCAATTAACTAATCAGGGAGGAAACAAACATGATCTAAGAGTAAAACCTAAAGACAAGAAAAGCAACCACATAACTAATATTCTAAGGGGAAGGAAAACTACAAAAACCTGTGGGAAAAAAAACATACTAAAGAGAACTAATACAATGAAAAGCTGAAACTATAAACAACTGCAGAGGGGTGACTGGGGATGACTAAAGGAACACAGGACCTGGGAGATGATCTGGAGGGCTGAAGACCAGGGGACACATGAGGAACACCAAGAGACACATAAGGGGGATTCTTAGAGGGAAAATGGAGCACACAAGGAGACACATGAGGGAGACGCAGACACAGACCATGACAATAGCATGTCATAAAAATGCAGGAAATTGCCAAACTCAATATCATTACACCTCTAAGCTTCATGAATGTTTCTGCTATTTCCATTATGGTCACGGATGCAAACAGGTGACACGTAAAGTGGAACACTGGATGTGCTGTTCAACAAGAACATGTCTCAGTTCAGTTGTGTTGCTGACCATTGTTGGTTTTTCTTTAATAGAGGGATCTCAGGAATCCCTACACCACACTGCAAGCCAGTGGCCAATCCTCAGTCTGTGTGGAAAAGCCATGCTAGCTGTCTAGCATCTGCATACTTTAGAAATAAAAAGCCGTTTTCATTTTAGTGAAAAGATAAGTGCCAGTAGTCGTTGCTTGTTTATTTATTTTCTTGTTCTATGAAACAAAACAGATTGTAAATCAACTTTCCAGTAACTAACTGGTTTATGTCCCAATGTCCTCTGTCTTCTCTATTCAGGACATGGGTCCCACCAGCATGCCCTCAGTGCCCGTCATGGTAGGATGTGGGGTTTCTTGTACCGCTCTCCTCATCCTACTGCTAATCTACGCTGCCTTCTGGAGGTGACTGCATGCACGAACACACACACACACACAGACACACACACACACAGACACACACACACACAGACACACACACACACACACACACACACACACACACACACACACACACACACACACACACACGCTTAATGTTATAACTTACTCATCTCCTCTGCACAGAGATGTAATTTCTTTTCATCCTTTCACAAGTGCAAATTCAAAAGTCTAGTGTGTGTGTGTGTGTGTGTGTGTGTGTGTGTGTGTGTGTGTGTGTGTGTGTGTGTGTGTGTGTGTGTGTGTGTGTGTGTGTGTGTGTGTGTGTGTGTGTGTGTGCTTGTGAGTTTTGGTGCCCAAACTGCATTGACACCTTATAATGAAGAAAATGGTTCAGCTAGAGCAGAGGATATGATGATTAGCTCTTCTTTATATTCATTCCAGCTCTTCTGGTTGGGCTAAACTGGACTAATATGGTCTTATCTGTCTGGCTGTCAGCCAGACAACAAGGGCCTCCTCCCAGTGCCTTATGATCCTGTTATATGCTCCTTGACCAATTACAACCTGGCTTCATCACACTGAGCTTTGAAAAAAGACATTAGATTTAGGTTTTCTCTCCTGTCACATGTCAGCAAAATATGATGTCATAGCACAAGTCCTGCCTCAGACCCCATCGTAGAACAACTCTAGGACTGCATCAGAGTGCACGGATTTATGGGAACTTACCATCATGCATCTCAATGCAATCTCCTCACGGGGTCACGCCCATGGCATGGGGCCAGTTCAGCTTCAAACTTTATGAAAGCCAAATGACTCCAGTCCACTCGGTGAATACACTGCTACCACCACCACAACACTACAGTAGCAAGGAGCCCGCTCTATTCTTGAAGTGATATTTTTATTTTGAAGTGGGCTTTTTACACGATGGTAGATAGCCTCCATTTGTCTGCGTTTGAACACTCCAAAGTGGTTTATACATCACATATGTCATTCATCAAATGGTGAAAAGCTACATCGCCGCCATAGCTGCCCCGGGGCAGAGCCCTCCGACCACGACCAGCAGGCTAAGCAGAAGTATCTTGCCCAAGGACAAGACTGACACAGATGAAACTGGGGTTTGAACTGGCAACCACCTGTAGGAAGGCCTATGCCTGCCAGTGGCATAACTCAAAGCAGTCACCATTAGCATTGCTCCAGTCAGAGAGCCTCTTCCTATTTCTAGATGATTTTGAGAAACATTGCAGTTTTGATATTGTCCTTTCTGTAGATCAGCACTCAGACAAATCACCAGCCTGCCTCTTTCCTCTGCAGTTAGAGCAGCCTATGAACAGAGTGGTGCAAGGAGCTGACCAAGCTAGTGGAGGATCATGGCAGGAGAGCTCAAAAACTGTTCCCTAGGGACGGGCGTGACAGAAAATAGCTGAGATCCACTGCTGTAGATAAATAACACCTGTACGTGACAGGAGCATCCTCTGAATACACCCCCAAACCTCGTGAAGATCCTTGAAAGGCGCTCCACATGGCTGATGTTTTACCACGAGGCCATCATTCTTCATGATGCTGCACTAGTAGGTCTGTTTATGTCTAAATGCCTTGTCTCTCTCTTTGCTCTCTGCTGTTCAGGTACATCCGGTCTGAGAGGTCAATCATCTTGGTGAACTTCTGCCTCTCCATCCTGGCCTCCAATCTTTTGATCTTGGTTGGACAATCTCAAACAGTGAGCAAGGTAAAGCCCGTCCCAACACAGACGCTGTTTTTCACTGGTTCTGCTGCAAAGCTTCATAAGTGAATGTCATGTGACGAAAAAGCTCAGGAGTCCGGTGACGTTGCCCCTGGCCGAGCCTCCTCTAGGCCCTTTGAAATGAGAGTGTAGCAACTCTAGGGTTGATGCTGTAGACGAGGTTAATACAGTGGAGGTTTCACAGCAGCAGGCTGACATTTTTGGCAAACGGAACTCTGAGCTGTCGGACTAAGCAGGGCTTCAGTGTGTGGTGGCCAGGATCGATCAAACCAAGAACTCAGCAGAGTCAGAGCGAACGCTGAGGTGCAGAGTGGATGTTTTTGGGTTTGGTTCTTCTCACATCACACTCTCTCCACCACAGGGACTCTGTACTGTGACTGCTGCCTTTCTGCATTTCTTCTTCTTGGCTTCCTTCTGCTGGGTGCTGACTGAGGCGTGGCAGTCCTACCTGGCAGTTATTGGGAAAACCAGGTCACGAATCATTCGCAAGCGTTTCCTGTGCCTCGGTTGGGGTGAGCACTCTCCACATTTCACTCTGAACCTGGTGCTGCATGTGCTGCTAAATTTAGATTTCTTTTTTAACTTCGGGAGATTTTGGACAACTTTGAAGTGTGTTTCTGTGTAAAAGTTATGAATAATTGTACGTGTTAATCGTTCAGAGAAACATAATTTAAATCCAGTTGGACTGATTGGCCGACGGCTAGTCTGAATGTAGCCAAGAAAAGAGTGGATTGCTGTAATCTTGAAACAGCTTACCATTCCTGTCTGACGTAAAGTCTGTTTTTTTCCCAAACAGAAGTCATTCAGGTCAGAAAGTGATCATCTCACACTGAAACACAGTTCAAGATGGCTGAAACATACATTTAAAGGTCCAATGACATGAAATCCCTGTGTCTGCTCTGACATTGATGATCACCTATCACAGCTGGCCCGGTCTGTGTGTTTCTGTGGAAATGTCAGCAATTCCTACCATACCTATTTCAGATGTCCTAGTCTTAGTTCAGACAAACGGAGACAAAACAATAAGTAATTAAATGAGTAAAATGTATTTATAGAGCACCTTTTGTGAGATGATGACATCACAAAGGGTTGTGCAACACGGGTAAAAAAAAACAGTGATCCCTCGTTTATTGCGGTAGATGCGTTCCAGACCTGGCCGCGATAGGTGAAAATCCGCGAAGTAGGGACACCATATTTACAGTATTTATTTAACAGGTACGTATTCAGTATTCAGACTTTTAAAACCCTCCCTTTACATAGAAAAAAAATTTACTTGTTTTTTTTATAGTTTTATTACAAAAAGTGCATTTTATGATGCAATTGATGGAAAAAAACAGGAATTTCTTGATATTTTGCATAGAAAAATTCCGCGAAACGGCAAATATCCCTTGAATAAGGCTCCAAAGAAAAAATCTGCGAAGTCGTGAATCCGCGATAAACGAACCACGAAGTAGCGAGGGATCACTGTAAATGGATAAAAGGATTTAACACGGTACAATCATCAGCCCCAAAGACACTGTACACAAGATGTATCTGGGTAAAGTAATTTTATCAAAAATCATACCCAGTCATCATCAACAAGGTGACGGGATGTTTTTAAAGATAAAAACTAAAAGTTTAACAAACAATTAAAAGAGTTTGAGGGGGAAGCTGGACAGAGACCCTGTCCCCTGTGGGTTATGCCTGGTGTGAGGAACAGCCTGCATGGTTAAGAGCTGTGCCTGGTGGTCCGGCGCCTGGCCGTTCAGTGAGCACAAGCACTCTGACACAGGTTCAGTGTAGAACATGCGAGTCCGACTGCTGGATCTAGTCAGCAATCTGCATTCAATGATGAACACAATCTAATCGTGGCACCTATTTCCACTTAATTCCACGTAAGAACAGTAACCCAGTTTTAACCATGTCAAACCAAGACATTTTACATTTGGTGGTTTAATTTATTCAGAATACATTGGATCAATGTAGTATCCCAAAATTCTCACACCCGACGTTGCTAAAACTTCTCGTCCCAACGTGTCGGGAGGCGATGTGCTGTGCCAGAGTGTTGCTTTCTGATGCCCGTGGTAAAACAGACAGTTTAGCAAATTGTGACCTTTACCCTTTTGCAATTTAACCTTCCCCTCACCCCCATCTTAACCTTAACCCACTTGCACATACAAAACTTTGTTTCCTGTTGTATCGTCAATCTCAAACACGGTTAACGGGAAATTTAAAATGGGAAACTGGGTTAAGCTTAGGATGGGACGGTTAAATCGCTAGAGGTTACAGGTTAAATGTAGGTGAAATGTGCGTTTTACCGTGGCGGTGTACAGCTAGATTGCATTGGGAGCCCCAGCGCGTCGGAAACAAACGCTTGGTCACCCTTTGTCAGTTTCAGCCACTTCGAGTGTGAGAATATGTTGAATATCCTTACATTGACTCAAAATGATTCTTTTGATTTTGTAAAGTGAAAACGTTCAAATCAGTTCTCTAAAGCCCTCTTAACAGTGCCTGTTCCCCATCTGTCTGAGTTTCATATGCTCCCTGCGATTTCCATGGGTGTTATTTGTATTTGCATACACTGCTGAGTGCTTTTTGAAGCACTCTGTACCACTATCCTTTTCAACCATGGTTTTGGTTTTTTGCTCACTGACAGCTTATGAACGATAGAACAATGTTTCAGCACATGTAGATTTCATTGAATTTATAATTCTTTAAATGTGAATTGAACACAAACTGCAATCAATTGATTCATTTTACTTCTCAACATTCATAAAGACCGTGTCATGCTGGGAAATCTGTTCCATCCATCCAGTAATCAGCAAGTGGAATCATTAACACAATATATTCATGTACCCTTTTAAGTTGGCATTACACAATTGAATCAGGTTCGCCCTACAAACGTGATCTAATTATGTTGAATCTACATGTAAGGATTAAGTCACTTGAACAGAGAGGACTTCACATGTTTTAGAGTGGCTGCTGCATCATGAAGTGCTCTAAGTTGTGAGAGACCAGTAAAAATAGCTCTACAGTGATCCAAACACGATGAGACAAAGACATGGATTATTGTTTTCCAAATTGGCAGTTGGAACTATTTCATGGATTTTTGAGGAAGGGGAGATGGATTTGATGAGTGAGTCGAAGCTAAAGCAGAATCAAAGATAACTCCTAGGTTTCATACGCCCACCTTGGCTGCTGAGCAAAAGGAAGCAACCATCAGTTTGATACAGCAACAAGCAACAAGATGTACTCAGACTTTAACATTCCTTCAGGATTCTTTACTGATTGCTAAATTTCATTGAATTAAATTTAAACCAAACTAAGAACCAGTCATGACAGAGTCATGTGTCACCATGTCAGAACAGCTCTGATCTCAGACATGTCATGCAAACATGAATGCATGAAGCTCTACAACCACCAAACAGGTCATGTGACATGGTTATTTGTAGCAAAGATTAGCTACAACTGCAAAATACGGTAACATAAAACATTTTGGAATCTTACACTTAAAAATTCCTATTCTGTAAAATGTAAGTTTTCTCAATGGTCACCTAAATCTAAACAGCTGAGTCTACAACCTGCAGCTTCCAAGTATGTGGTGGAAAAACACAGAATAAAAGCAGAATTCATGATCCCAGTTCATAACTGGCTTATTTATGCATTCACTCCTGCAGACTATCATCACAAATGAGCATCCAGATAGAGCATCAGGATTAGCACCGTCATCATAAACCCATCTACTGCCCCCTGGTGGAGGATCTACAGGTGATCGTACTGTAACATAGCATACCATCGTACAAAAAACAAATGGTTATAATATATATTTAAATTAAAATGTAAAATAAGTTGCTGAGTTTTGAAAACTTTGTTTCTAAAATGACATTTCATATTTCAAGCACTAAGGGGCTAAGAGCACAACTGCATGATTTGTAGTTTATTAAACACATAAACTTATTTTTCTTCATGTTTAGGTTCTGATGGATGCTGCTTCATACATCCAAGCCATTAATGTTGAAATACTAAGTTTCAGTAAAGTATGGAGGCATCCAGGGATCCCAGCTGCTAGTAAAAACCTAAATAAGAGCTAAACTTCCTGCTGCTCTTTCTACTGAGCAGCTCCACTCGGTACCAGTGTTACAAACTGACTCTTTCATGAACTGGGTGATGATTGGACCACTGCTGTGTTACATGCGTTGGGGACAGAGGGCTTATTTTCCATGAAAAAGTAACAGCTTATTGTCTTGCCGTGTTGAAATTGTTACTCGTGTTATGCTTAGCAATCTTCATTCCCTGCATTCTCATTATATCCCATCCCAACCACACCGGACACTTTTATTTACTGCTCCATTTCCCAACAGCTGCACATTGTAGTTGATCGTTTAGTTATGTTTTATAGCTTTTTCATATATTCACAAAGGGGGTATGCAGTCAGACGGATCCTGCTGCTCTAAGAGGTACATCACCTCTTTCATTCCACGTCACTTTATTACGCCATCCGTTCAATGTAGAACAGCCTGCTGCTACATGCACCTGAGATGTTAGAGGATAATCAAACACACGCAGATAACATCTGCACAGCACTGGAAGATGCTTGAAGATAGAGCTGGAAATTACAGCCTTACACACACACACACACACACACACACACACACACACACACACACACACACACACACACACACACACACACACACACACACACACACACACACACACACACAATCTGCTCATTTCACTCAGTATTGATCCCAGCAGTCTAATCTGCCAAGTCACTGATGCCCTTACCTGATAGAGGCAGAGGATGTATAGACCACTCTATAGTCACAGATGGAGAGATACTGACATGGTGAGGAGTGTGTGTGTGTGTGTGTGTGTGTGTGTGTGTGTGTGTGTGTGTGTGTGTGTGTGTGCATCATACAGTGGCAGCAGAAGAATTATCTGGCACACTTATAGATGAGCATGAAACAGTTGGGCAGAGCAGAGAGGATCAAACATCTTATCCTCTTCACGTCCGTTTGGCAATTTTCTCTCCAAATTATGTGATTGAAATCAGTTGTCAAGGAAACAGCCCATATGATGAGGCTAGATGCTTTTGTGAATGTGTGTGAGTGTGTGTGTGTGTGTGTGTGTGTGTGTGTGTGTGTGTGTGTGTGTGTGTGTGTGTGTTGTGTGTGTGCAGCGTGTGCATGTATTGTGTAGTGTGTGTGTATGGTGTAGTGTGGAGTATGAGTGTAGCGTGTAGTGTGTGTGTGGAATGTAGTGTATAGTGTGTAGCGTGTAGTGTGTGTGTGGCATGTCGTGTATAGTGTGTAGTGTGTAGTTTGTGTGTAATGTGTAGTGTGTAGTATGCGTGTAGTGTGTGTTGTGTGTTTTGTGTAGAGTGTAATATGTGTGTAGTGTGTGTGTGTAGTGTGTAGAGTGTAGTGTGTGTGTGTGTTTTGTGTAGAGTGTAATATGTGTGTGTAGTGTGTGTGTGTGTGTTGTGTGTAGTATGTAGCGTGTAGTGTTGTGTGTAGTATGTAGTGTGCAGTGTGTGTGTAGTATGTAGCGTGTAGTGTGTGTGTTTAGCATACTGTGTAGTATGTGTGTAGTGTGTAGTGTGTGTGTAATGTGTGTTTGTTCTGTGTAGTGTGTAGTGTGTGTGTGTGTGTGTGTGTGTGTGTGTGTCTGTGTGTGTGTGTGTGTATGTGTGTGTTTAGTATAGTGTGTAGTATGTGCGTAGTGTGTGTGTGTAATGTGTGTTTGTTCTGTGTAGTATGTTGTATGTAGTGTGTGTGTGTTTAGTGTAGTGTGTGGTATGTGTGCAGTGTGTGTGTAATGTGTGTTTGTTCTGTGGAGTATGAGTGTACTGTGTGTGTGTGTGTTTAGTGTAGTGTGTAATATGTGTGTGTGTGTAATGTGTGTGTAATGTGTTTGTTCCGTGTAGTATGTGTGTAGTGTGTAATGTGTGTGTAATGTGTTTGTTCTGTGTAGTATGTGTGTAGTGTGTAATGTGTGTGTAATGTGTGTTTGTTCTGTGTAGTATGTGTGTAGTGTGTAGTGTGTGTAGTTTGTGTCTAGCATTTAATGTGTGTGTGTTGTGTGTGTGCAGTGTGTGTTGTTTGTGTGCAGTGTGTGTATGCATTGTGTAGTATGTATGTGTATGGTGTAGTGTGCAGTGTGTGTATGCATTGTGTAGTATGTATGTGTATGGTGTAGTGTGTAGTGTGTGTGGCATGTTCTGTATAGTGTGTAAAGTGTAGTGTGTTTGTGTGTGTGTAGCGTGTAGGGTGTAGCATGTAGTGTGTAGCATGAAGTGGGTCTTGTGCAGTGTGTAGTATATGTGTAGTTTGTAGTGTGTGTGTGTTTTGTATAGTGTGTGTGTGGTTTGTAGTTTGTGTGTAAGGTGTGTTTGTTGTGTGTAGTATGTGTGTAGTGTGTATGTAGTGTGAAGTGTGTGTGTAGTGTATATGTAGTGTGTAGTGTAGCGTGTAGTATGTAGTGTGTAGTATGTGGGTAGTATGTGTGTAGCGTGTAGTGTGCATGTAGTGTGTAGTGTGTGTGCCGTATGTAGTGTGTGTGTGTAGTATGTGTGTAGTGTGTGGGTACACTACACTACTTTTTTCTTCTTCTTCTGGATCTTGGAGAGTTCAGATGCTTTTTTCCTCCTCTCCTCCCTATCTTATCCCAAGGCTCTTTGTCTGCCTTTGGGTGTACGGCGCTTCTGCATTTTTTCCTGGAAACTGGAAACTGGAAATTATTAAAATGGACCCGGTCAGTTGGTCTCTCAACGCGATTGACAACATTTTTTCAACGATGAGAAAGGGTGAAGGGGCTCCCGGGTGCCTGCTGGGCATATCATGGACTCCTGGAAACAGTGGAACCTGATCTGCCTCTCTAAACTGTCTGTAGAGGATTCTGAAGATGTCTGAATATTCATGGTGTTGGTGTCAGGTTTCGTGCTGTTTGGCCTGAGCGGTTACCTGGCTTACCGGAAAATTAATGAGCTGTCGAAGAATATTGGCTCAATCCCGGAGCTCAGGGATGGATTACACTGCGCTGTGAATGCACAAACTCATATAATTGTCGACATGTGTCGTAAGCTTGGAACTTTGACTGAGATTAATAAAGTATCTTTGAATTTGAATGTAGTGTGTAGTATGTGTGTAGTGTGTGGGTAGTATGTAGTGTGTAGTGTGTGTGTGTAGTTTGTGTGTAGTGTGTATGTAGTGTGTAGTGTGTGTAGTATGTGTGTAGAGTGTAGTGTGTATGTAGTGTGTAGAGTGGGCCTATGGTTACAATGCGATGTTAGCCCAGATCTGGACAAGTGGGGGAGTAGAGGGAGATGGAGTGTACAGTCGGTAAAGATGGCTCTCCCTTGCCCTGACTCCAACATGCCTCCATCTAAAAGGCTATGTCATCCAGAGTTACCTCTGTAGTTACACTGCTATAGGCTTAGACTGCTGGAGGACATCCTGACTGCTTTCCACACTTCACTACTTTCTTCTACAATTTGCTCTTTAACTGTATTATTTCCTGCTATTTCAACTGTTTATTTTTTCTCTAAGTGTTTTTCTCCCCAGAAGAAGTTACAATGATGCTCTGTTGAGCTGTGGTAGCCTCATGGTGGGGGCCATTGGCTAGCACAGTGTTGCTAACCACTTAAACATTCTCCCTCTCCTGTTAAAACCATTTTACTTTCTTTGACATTGAATGTGCTACTACTAGTTTACCTGTTTAAATATAGATTCACCAAGATACATACAATAAAATGTATCTCTCACCAAATAGAATATTTACTAAGAAATCACAATGTAACCATAGAAACACTACTTGGTATATATGGAGGGTTCTTCCCGTTAAAAGGGAGTTTTCCTCTCCACTGTTGCTGCATGCTTGCTTAGGATGAGGATCGCTGTAAAGACTCTGACACTAGTCAGTGACTCGATGCAACCTGCTGGGTTCCTTATAGAGAAAACTTTTTACTGGTTGGCTTAATGAACTGAACTCTATTGGAATGTTTATTATGTGAAGTGCCTTGAGACGACTCTCGTCATGATTTGGTGCTTTATAAATAAACTTAATTGAATTGAATGATGTGTACTGTGTAGTGTGTGTGTGTGTGTGTGTGTGTGTGTGTGTGTGTGTGTGTGTGTGTGTGTGTGTGTGTGTGTGTGTGTGTGTGTGTGTGTGTGTGTGTGTGTGTGTGTGTGTGTGTGTGTGTGTGTGTGTGTGGTGGACGGGCCTGGCTCTCCACCATCGTATTTGTTAAAGCTAATGCGACTTTTCCTATTTGCTTTTCATTAGCAGCCATAATCACAGCTTTGTTAATTACAAGAATATTTCAGAGCCAAGCTCATTAACGGCGCAGCTATATTCCTTCTTTTCCTCACAGCTCTCAAGTCTCTGCTACACAGAAATGATTTCTCACTTTTAAACCCACCTGCAGAACTCTCAGTCACTTCCTCTTCCTGTGTGTTTGCAGGTCTCCCAGCCCTCGTTGTGGCGGTGTCGGTGGGTTTCACCAGAGCCAGAGGTTATGGGACGGCTAGCTAGTGAGTAGAAGCAGCCAGGCTCTCTAATCACCACTCATCTCAGGGTTTCATACCTTAATGGCATCCTCTTCCTCCCACTTGTTCTGTGGACACTCTGGAGGCAGAGGAGCATGAAGTCAGACCCTGTAGGAACACGGGGTTCTGTTTGTTTCAGAGATCTGCTTTAGATGTGTATTTCCATGCCTCTGCAGAAGGGTGGCTATTAATTCTCCTTGTGTTGTCCATTTCTCCTTTAAACAGCTGAATGTATGAAGCCTGATTATTATTTTTTCTTTGCATCAACAAAGCTGCCGGTTGTCCCTCATTTATTTATCTATTCAATTTAAACATCCTGTTTCCGTTGGTGCCTTTGGGAGTTCGAAGCCTGGACTCAGAGAAATGCACAAGCTCCATGTTTATTGGCCAGGCATGTTGGGGCTGATTCAGTTTACAAAAGGTTTTCATTTAAGATACCTGAAAATTAGATTCAAATCTAAGTGTCTCTGGAAATTTAAGGATTTATGAATAAAGTAAGTAATTCTAGTGAAACGATGTAATCAAGTGTTGTTTTGATCAATAATGAACCTTTTCACTGGTGAAGTCCTCCCAAAAACCAAGTTCTCTCAACAGAAACTGCAGTTATGAACGATTACTATAGTACCTGATGTACAAATGGAAATGAGATGTAAACATTATGTGAACAGAACCCAGTCTGAAGTCATGAACGCTTCATCTGTAACGGGCTTTTTGTTTTTTATCATCTTCTGAGCTCCAAGCTTTTGTCGGACCACATAAAGGCGAAAAACGATTGCTTCAAAGATAGTAAATGTTGAAACAAGTAATTATAAGTGAAAAATATGAATTATAAAATAAAGTAGATTAAAACAGCACAAGCAGACATCTTCATGTGAAGGTGCACGGCCACCGAACATTAAATCAAATATAAATGCAGTCATTTGGCCTGCCTACAGCAGAAAATGTGTTCCTGTTGCTACCAGGCTGCAGCTGTTTGCTGAAGCCACGTTTGTAAGAGAAAGCTTAAAAAAAAACCTCGGCCAGTTTCTCCAAATGTTTTGTTTTTAATTTGGTCACAAAGTGTCTAAATCATGCCCCGGTTTGTACTTTACCTGCATCTGTGAATCCAAACGGGAAGTTCTCTCACCTTTCTGGCTCTCTGACCCATGGAGGGATGTCCGGACACCAGTCACTACGGTGCTGATTTGGAGAAAATTTGTCAGGGAGAAAACATAAAAGCACATTTTATAAAAGTGACTCAATTAAAACACAGGAGAAAAGAAATGACCGCCAAGTAAACAAGACAAAATGTTTAGTTAAACTGAGTAGATGCCTGCTGCTTTTGTTGCACATTTAGGAGTGAAAGGTGAGAGCTTGAGTCTGTTCTGTGCTTCTCTCGTCTTCCTTCAGCTGCTGGTTGTCCTTGGAGGGAGGTCTGCTCTATGCCTTTGTTGGTCCTGCTGCTGTCATCGTCCTGGTGAGTCTTCCTCATGTACTTTGTTTCTTAAAGAAAAAAACAAACTCTGCGGCTTCCAGTTGAGGCAGACTCCAGCTCCTACAGGTCACGCTACACTATTCTGCAGATATTCTGGCCGAGCTGGCCCCCGAGCTTTGAAGTGTCTTCGCTCTGACCTCAGAGCTCCCCCCTTCCCCGTGCCATCTCCTGCAAACACACACATACAAGTGAAAACTGATGAGGGGAGCACTTTGATCCTGGAGTTAATGCCAGCCCTAAAAAAAATGCAATGAATAAAAACATGGCTGCAGACAGGAGCTTTGGGCAACGCGTTGCATTTCCGGACTGAAACGGAGTCCAAGTTAAGCCCTGAATCTAACACGAAGCATGAGTCACCAAATGCATCTAGGGCAAAAACATCTCCTCAGACATAAATATATGATGAACACTGTGCACCACAAGTGCAAGTCTGTGCACTTTGCTTTTAACCAAGTACTCTAACAGACACTTTTATGTAGCTCTGCACCATTCTGCTGCTGAACTCTGTGCATTGATTGCATCCCAGTGGAGTTTTAATCGTCTGTTTTTGTGTTCTGCCTCTGTGTGGCTGAGTTAATTTCTCCTAAATGAATCACTGTGTGGATATTCCCACCACTAAGCTCAATAGGTCTGGACTGAAAGTGCTAAAATGCAGTAATTGGTGCCGCCATCGATGCTGCTGCAGCAGATGACAGCATACTTAACGTGTAGCGCGACTAAGAAGGGAAGTATGGATCAGGGAGCATCACAGGTGTGCACGCTTTAGGAGAAAATGTCCGACATGAGAACTTGACGGCGTTTTGAAGCTGCAGTTTGATGTGTGAGACGCTTGCCAGCCATTTTATTACACACACCTGTTCAAGTGCCTTAATCACATGGCAGCACTTCAATACGTTCCAGCGTCTAGACGTGCTGACGATCAGACTGATTTCATGGAGAAGACATTGAGTGAGCAGCAGTTAGGATCAACATGTCTTGTTGAGGTCAGAAAAGACTGGTCAGACTGGTTCTGTGTGTGCACCAGCAACTCAGATCAGCTCTGTAACAAGGTCTGCAGATGAACACCAGCAGCAGCAGCCACACCAGGTGTCTCTCCTGTCAGCTAAGAATAGGAGCCTGAGGCTACAAGTCGCACAGGATCACCAGAAGTGGACCAGAAGAAACTGGTCTGATGAGTCTGGATTTCTGCTGCTGCCTAAAGGTTGGTTTATGCTTGACGCGTCCGCGAGGTCCGCACGGCTCCGCGCGGAAAAGTTGCGTCATTTTGCGTCATTTTAACAACCACGGCCCAGAATTTCCGCAACGCGCACCTCGGAAAATTTCTAACCACGCGGACAGACGTGGAAAAACATGGTGGACTGGCAAAAACTAGTACGGCAGAGGTTCATAAATACAGACATTTGTATGATTCAGCTCTCAAAGATCACCGTGATCAACATGTTGTTAATAATTCTTGGAGAGAAATAGCTCGCACTGTCGGAAAAGACGAGAACGCTGTTAAAAATGCTGGAATGCCATGTTGTAAACAGTCATTTCTACTTCTACTATGGTGTAGTGTTGGATACATGCCGTAGAGCTCCACGCTGCCCCGTTCAGTTTGGGAGAATATTGGCTCACCGCAGAGACGAGCCGCACAAACCATAAACGCTGCGAGTTGTGATGCGCGTTCCAGCCGCGAGCCGCATCACCGCGCAGAAAGTGAATGCGTCAAGCATAAACCAAGCCCCCCTAACCCCCTAACCAACAGCCTCCACAGTCACCAGATCTCAGTCCAGTCCAGAACATTTGGGATGCGGTGGAATGGGAGGTTCTCATCATGTAAGGATGGACCAGAACCTGTGAGAAATGTTTCCAGCACCTTGCTGAGCCTGTGACATGAAACACTAAGGTGGTTCTGAAATCAGAGGATGGTCCGACCTGGTTCTATGAAGGTGCTACTGGTATTTTAAAATTGTCTTTAAGAGTTCAAGCAAAAGTGTCATCTTTCCAAAGTGACTGAGGGTGAATCGGGTTGCAGCAGTGAAGTAGAACCCATGAGAAGTTGTTTAGTCGAGTACTCCCCAAACCCCGACCGTGACGTGGTTCCAGCTCCACCCAGAGGCCTTGTTCTGACAAACAGCTGCACTGAGAGTGGGACATCGGACGCAGAAGAACACAGACCTTCCCGCAGGACTCCTCTCTAATTAATGAACCCAGCCTTGGGCAAATAACAGAACAGGAGGATGCAGACTCATGGCACCAAGGCCAGACATGACCGGCATGACTAAAGCATTCTCACAAGCTGGCGTATCACAGTTGGCTGTCAGCAGTGACACGCTCAGGAGAGTGGAAGAGATCAGAGCAAAGAAGAGTTTGTGGCAGATTGAGAAAGCTGGCAGGTAATTCACACCTTACACGTCGCAGAAGAATATGTGCTGCGAGCGGAAATCTGGCTGCTGAAAAAAGCTGTAGAAACCAAAGATCCAACAGACCACACGAAAGTCCATTTCAGTTTACTGCTTGGCTCTGAGTTTTTACATTTTTACATTGAGGATTTCTCATTTCAGCCTGCAGGTGCTCGTCTACTTTTGGAGATGCACCGAAATTTTTTCCCCCAATGAGAAAAAAAGTCCACAGAATAAATAATTCTGTTAGACATAAGAACAGGAGAAGAAGAAGAACAGTCTAAGGTTCTGCAGAAATAAACGTGGAGTAGTAGGAAGGGTGGAGCTGGATGACAGTCCTGATCATGAGGAGCATGTCAGCAGCACAGGAAACGTTCCAGATGGAGAGGATTTAAGACTCAAAGATGTGTGTGTGTGTGTGTGTGTGTGTGTGTGTGTGTGTGTGTGTGTGTGTGTGTGTGTGTGTGTGTGTGTGTGTGTGTGTGTGTGTGTGTGTGTGTGTGTGTGTGTGTGTGTGAAAGGGTGAAGAAAGCCAGATGTTTGGTTGGATTATGAGATCTCTCTTTAATATGGAAACAAGTGTGTCCAGCAATCAGTGTCCCAATTTTTGTAATATATTTTTATACTTATTTATTAAATCACTAACATTTTCCTAAAAAGGACAACTTTCTTTTCAATAAAATACCCCCCCCCCCTCCAAACAAAAGATTATTTACTTGATTTTAATTGAATTACACAAAAAAATAAGTTTTTTTTTGTTTTTACAAGTGTTTTTTTTCCCATATTTTTTATTGTCTCCATGACACAATCCAATCATCCGTAAACATGATCAGAAACACAACAGGAGCTGCTTGGAACCAGAAACAATCGCATGTATGCACATTTGTGTATGTGTTTATTTAAGGCCTGGCTAAGACAGCAGCATAATTCCCTTCCAACAATATTCAGGACATTCCACATTACCGTAATGACTCTAAAGATAATCTCATCAGGTAATCCTTAATTGTGTGGTGTGTTAAGAGCCCTCTTGTCGTCTTAGAAGGACATCTAGACTGCTCTCATGACAAGTCTGGCTTTTAAACTATTGGACTGTGTTAATCTTATTTTCAAGAACAAACAAGCATACTGTCTTTTGAATGGGGCGTGTAGCCAATCGGAAAGCGAGGTAATGGAAGCACTTGCATGGTCTTCCTCCACCATGTTTGTTTACTCTGAAGTCAAGTGCGATCTTGAAAGATTCCCTGTAGGGAATTGATTGGTGTGTAGCTGTAGCCATGCTGCTGCACACCACACACTGTAAGACCAAAACATGTCTATCGATGATTTGTGGGTTAGCGTTAGGATTTTAGCGACACTTCAGGCACTGACCTATGTCAGCAGGTGGCAGAGTTGTCTTGTTTGGTGTGAACTGTTACCATAGTAGCATGTTGACAGTAGTTTCAGAACTGAAATTCATGGACCTGTTCAGCTCATATAAAGTATATGTGTGTGAATGTATATGTGCATGGTTGTGTTGTAAAATGTCTTGGGGGTTGTAAAACTCTTGAAGACACTTTAGCAAATGCAGGCCATTTCCCATATACCAATTACATTTTGTTGACCATTAGGTCAGAACTGTTTAGTTGTTTTTGTGATTCGCTCATTAGATTAGTTATAACACAACAGTTTTTTTTTAGTTAGCATGGGACCTTGCACCAGGGACACCTAGCTTTTCATAACTGATACACTGGAGAGGAAGGCCTTGTCCACAGCGTAGGTGGGGCCAAGCAGACCAAAGACTGTGTAGGCAGAAGCTCAGGAGCTTTTGGAAAGTCTTGTGACTAGTGGTAGTTTTAAGGGACTAGGGCTGTCTTTTTGTATCACTTTCTATCGTCTGCTCTTGACTCAAGGACAAGTCCAAATCTAAATAGTCCAAAGTTGATGCAGAGGCCATTTCAAGCAAGCTGCTACCATCGATAGAGCACTGTCATTGGCCAGACTGTTTGGGAGCTGTTGAGGCTTCTGTGGAGCATGGCTAGATTGACCTGCAGAGTGCAACCCTTTTGCTTCTGCTACAGTCTGTCTAGAACTAAGAGACTGCTGCAGATGTGTTGAAAAAAACGAGGAAACCTCTTCTTCATGACCCCTCTTAGTTCCAGTAAATAGATGATAAATATAAAGATAAAAGTAAGATTTAATGAGATTGTTTTTATCCTCTATAAATATGAAATTGTTGTAAAAAAGACTAAATATTTAATACAGTGGTTAAAGTTTTCATAGTTATTTAGTATTATTTTAACATACTTTTCCTACATGTAGTTTTTTTCCTACATGTTCCAGCAATTTTATTTATTATTCAATTAACTTCTTAAAATAGGTTTCAGATTTAATAATTTAAATGAAAATTTTTAGTTCTCTTTCTTAACATTCGTTTCGATGTCTCACTATGGGAAACGCCCCTCCGCGGATTCCTCAGAAGCACTTATCTCAATACGCCAATCCTGATTGGCCAGTGACCATGATGTCACTACGAGTAGCAAGCGTCCCAAAGCATGCGGTGCTTGCTTCGATGGTTGCATACCTCACAGGTAAGTTAGCTCAACTGTTCACAGACGGAGCTAGCTAATATGTTCTCCGTCGCCGAACGCTAACCTACTTTCCTTCTGTGCTGACCTTCACCATAGGTTGGTGGCACAGCTAGCAGTTTCACACTCCAGTGCACCTGTTCGTTCTTTAGCTAGCACACCAGTTAGTCCACATGGAAGCCGCTCCTTCCACCAGAGGAGTTGACGGCACGGGAGCTCGCCTCTGTACCAAAATCTCGAGCAAAGACCCACACAAGGTCTGCTCGGGCTGCCTCAGGCTGGAACACGCCCAGCTAGCATTGGAAGTTCCCGGGTCATGCGAGAGCTGTGCATGCTTCACCCTGAAGAGCCTTCACCAGCAGCTAGCGTGCCAAGCTAGCCTATGGAAGGACCCATGCCTGCCGGTTCCTGGGCCGCCGCCTGGGGACGCTAACGAATATGCCTTCCCGGATCTGGAACCGAGCGCCGAAGCCAGCTGGAGCTCCCAGCTCGAACTGGCCGTTCCGAGCCACCCCGTCGAGGACGTGTTGGACTTGAACTACGGAGATGACGAGCACACCTTGGAACTTCTCATTTCAGGGGAGGACAAGGAGGATAACGTTTGTCTCCCCCTCGCTCAGACTTCCATACCTAGCTTAGCGTCCTCTCCCAGGGATGTAGTGGTTTCTCCACCCACTCACCTAGACATGCAGTCAGTCTGCTGACGCACTGCGACCAGGCTCAACGTCTGCTGGCCCACCACGGTCACTGAAGCTGTCAGATCCCGCTATGAGGGAAAGAAGCTGCAGGCCACAAGGGCGGCAAAGCCTCTCCTGCCCGCTTTCCCGGAGCTCCTCTCAGTAACATGAGTGAGATGTCTCACCAGACAACCCTTCTTGCTGGGCGAAGCGAGAAGAGGTGTTCATCTTGAATAACGTGTGGGTTGGGACGCTTGCTACTTAAAGTAGCACGTGGCGTGTACGTCACGGTTACTGGCCAATCAGGATTGGCATATTGAGATAAGTGCTCCTGAGGAATCCGCGGAGGGGTGTATCCCATAGCGAGACGTCTCACTCATGTTCCTCAGGGAATCAGGGTTGTGACAGTAACCTAAAGTTTTAGCTTTAATACTGTGGAAAAATACTAAATGTCTAATTGAACACAAATATAATACTATTACTCTACTCCAGATACATGGAAATGCTTCCTTTTACATGTGCATTTGGGATGATAGACTCATTCAACCTTTCCCACCAGACTCATTGATAGGTCTAATTTCTCCTCGTCTTTCTCAGGTGAACATGCTCATTGGAATCGTGGTGTTCAACAAGCTCATGTCCAGAGACGGCATCTCAGACAAGTCTAAAAAGCAGCGAGCCGGGTAAGTTCACTTTCGGAAAGAAACTCGTGCACACGTGCATCGCTCACTCACCCATCCATGGAAAGTCTCAACAAAAAAGTCAGTTAGTCGTATTGGGTCAATTGTACCAACTGTCAGAAAATGTTCTCAAAGCAACTACATCTAAGTGCTTCCAAGTGTGTCTGCACACACACACAAACACACGCACGCACGCACACACACACACCTGGACCTCTAACAGCCAAAATCATAAAAAATAAGATCCAGTTTGGCTGGAAAATGATAATACATCTGTTATGTTCTGTTGTTCTCTGAGATGATTCTCAGCACCGCGTCTTCTCCGTTGGATGGCACATGATGAATATAGAAATCAATGGCGGTTGGAAACCTAATGACAAACCCTAAATGCACAGATTACATGGATGAGATCTGGAACAGTCTAATATGGATGCACACATGGTGGTGTGAGGTGCATGTAAATGTATCCACTAAGAGTGATGAACCCTTTAAAGCAGTAAGCAGATGTTCAACACCACCCCCACCCCCACCCCCAAGCCCGAGCGGAAATCTCAATGGCTCTCAGAGCTAAACCCATGTTTTAATTTTCACACCTATTGATTCCATTGACTTCTCGTTCTCCTTTTCTCTGTCTCATTGCATTTCCACCAGTGTGTATCAGCTGCACAAATTGAAATGGATAGTTTGTTTATGGTGGCATGGGTTAACGGTACAGATTGGCTCTCTGGGTGGCTGATTAGCTTTTGTAACCCAACAATGTAATTGAGATTAAACCTGTTATTGAATGCAAACCCACCGCTAAAAGGCAGGTATGACTGTCTTCACTCAAGGAAAGGTTTATGGTTGCAGGCACACCTCCCATCAGTTTATCAGTTGTGTGTGTGCCTGCATTTAAACACACAATGGTAGGGGGTGCTGCCAGCAGGAAAACATGTTCCTCATGAAGCCATAGGGTAGTGGCTGATACTAAGGAAATGAGCTGTGATGAGACGCTAATGTAGCATAGCTCAACACAGCACCACCGTTCTCTACTGGTAGACACACACACACACACACACACACACACACACACACACACACACACACACACACACACACACACACACACACACACACACACACACACACACACACACACGTGAAGTCCTTGTTTTGTCTGTCTCTACAGGGCTGTAGAAGATTATCTGCCCCCTCACAGACTTCTACTTTGTTTTGGTTAAATGATTCAGATCAGCAAATAGGTGTCACAGTTAACCAGAGTCAATGAAAAACCTGGTTGTGATGTCAGCGATGTGGGGAAGCATAAAAAGAATAAGAGAAGAACCTGACCCTTAAACACAAAGGTCAGACGTTCTCCTCCACGATGTTCTGCTGGTGAGCAGACGTCATGGTTCCATCAGGGGTCCAGGTCCTGCCCCAGACCAGCACACTACCACCACCATGTTTGACTGATGATATGGTGTTTTACTAAAATCAGGAGGTAGCTCTACTCCAGATAAATGGGAAGTTTCACTTTTGTCTAACCGGCCAACAGAATACTCTCGAGAAACATCAAGGTGCTTTTTTTGGGTCATCACCTCTGAGGCCAGCTGTGCTTTAGATGTGCTGCTCTTGAAGATCCTTTAGCCTGCTTCTTGTAGTCCAACACATTCTGATCTGAAACATTTAATCAAGACAAAGGGGCATGTTTTTTCACCATACAGAAAACAGTGTGTGTGTGTGTGTGTGTGAGGGGGGGGGGGGGGTGTTCTGTCTGTGTTGCTGTAATCTGTTAATCCACACGACAGCTATAACATTATTGTTCGTCTCACATTATCTTTACTTGCTTTGAATCAGTCTCTGTATTCTGCAACTTTTTAAGACCTGATTTTAATTTGCCTTTCTTTTCTCCCCCCCACCCCTTTTTTTCTTTTTTCACTCCACCTCTGGTTTGTCCACCACTCCGCTCTTGTTTCTTTACCCATGACACCCCCTCACCTGTTGCTGTGACTTTTGTTTCCATACGCCACCCTTCCCCCGACACCATCCACTCCCCGTTTTACACACGATTGTGTGGATGTGTGTGTTTCTGTGTGTGTGGACATGTCCTAAAGTGTACCGATGGAGGCGCGTAGCCGACTGCTCCTGAAATGCTCCAAGTGTGGCGTGATCTCAAGCACCGCTTTGTCCAGCTCGACGGCCAGCAGCGCCATGTTAGTCCGTTTTCTCACTTGTATCTTTTTTTTCCATTTTCCACCTTTTCTTTAATTTCCATCATCTTCTCACCACGTCTTCTTCTTTAGTCTACCTTGTTCATCTTTGTCGTTTGTAATGATGTGTGTTGGATGTCGATGGAGCCAATTCTTAAAATGCAATTCTTTTTAAATCCCAGAAATAACTTTGGGTTGAATTCTGTTATACGCTAAGCTATGACTAAATTATTCTGTAATAGTGTTTAAATCATGTACAGGTGAGAGTGGAAAAATGAGAAACTGGTACAAAAGTTCATTCATGTCATTGATACAACTTAAAAGGTGAAACTAATCTATGGGGCAGACTCATTTCATGCAAATCCAGATGTGTCAGCCTTTATTTGTTCTAGCTGTGCTGGTTATGAAAACCCCACATTCACAATCTCAGATTATTTGAATATTCAATATTCTAGACTCAAAGTGTCACACTCTGATCAGCTAATGAATCTAGAACAGCTGCAGAGGGTTCCGGAGCCTTTAGATGGTTTCTCAGTTTGAGCTGGATTACTGACATAAATGGACCTTTGCATTAGACTCTAGTTTTTACAGTTTCACCTGTAAACTTACAATAAAGCGATGCTAAACAGCTTCCTGGGTAACACTTTACAAAAAGAGTCCCCTTTTCAACATTACTTAGGGCATTATTACGCATTAATAAACCATTAAAGAAAGTGTTAACAACTACTTTTATGCATTACATAGTATTACTAAACATATAATTTGGTGCATTATTAAGCAGTTAACTAAGTCTATTACTGAACCTTAGTTAATGCAGTACTAAGCTTTCAATAATACTTGCATTAATTACTTAGCATCTCGTGTGTTAACATTTTATTTAATGGTTTATTAATGCTTTAAGTAACATTAATAAAGGGACCCTTTTTGTAACATGTTACCATTTCCTGCTCCTCCACCCTACTGGTCGAAAGTGGAATTACAACTGTTGTAAACAGCCCTGCAGCAGCCTGCTGTAGCTAGCACTAACAACGAGCTAACACAAACACGAACCAACTGATACTAAATTAACTTTGAATTAAGAATTAAGCTGTGTCGAGTTTTAGCTCTTTGCTTCACCTCCAAAGATATATAACTCTGATATTTACTTCCAGACCCAGAATGATGCCAGCAAAATAGCAAACTTCTTTTATTTTCTTCTTCTTGTGTTTTTTATTGATGGTCAGAAAACTGAAAAAGCTAGGTGCTAGCTGTTACATTAGCATGTAAAGTGCATGCCCTAGGTCACCTACGCGCTCCACAAATCTGTTAAGTGCTGTTTCCGATCAGCAGAGGGCAGCAGAGTGCTGTCCCATTGGCAGCGTTTCTACCTACACACTCACTGAACCACACTTTTAAAAGAATTGGTAAAAATGTTAACAAAATAGTCTTCTGACTATAAGCCTCAACTAAACTGTTCCTGTACAAAAAAAAAGTAATAATCTTGAGCAGTGGATGGTGGAGGAGTCTGATGGTCATAAATGTTATCTTCCCTTCAGTCTAAAGTCGTTTGCGTAGCAGATGACACAAGAGAACAACATCTGCCTGCTGAGCATGAAAATAATGAAAGTGAATGAGAGCCTGGCAGTGTTTACCTCACTCTGAGAAAGCGTATCACAGTAGAGAAGGAAATGCTGGTAAATGATGCCACCAACACCAACCATTTAACATATAAACTGTACATGAACTGTAATGTAGAGTGGGTGACATCACACTGTAAGTTCAACATAAGTAAATTCTGTAAGATTCACAAAAACCTTTAATGTGACTTCATGAATAATAAATATATTTTTGGTGTTTAGTTTATTTAGAGCAGCAGAGCGAATAAAACACCAACGCAGTACCATAAGGGTTGTTGGTGAGACCCACGGGACCACGCACAGTAATGCACTAGTTTTAAAGCACGCCTCTCAGCTTCTTGTAACTGTAGTCCACATTAATGAATGTAGTTAGCTGTAGCAGGTTTAATGGAATAGTCACATGCAGCTGTCAGAATGAGCTCCAAAACTACACAGTTATTCACCTGTTCAACTTTTACTTGAACTCTGAATACACCCAAAAATATTTTACCTTTTCATAGTTTTTGCATATTTAGCCAAACAGGACATTAATCACTACATGTAGGCAGTTGAAAAAAAAATGGAATTAATTTAAAAAGAGGAAATTAGTTTAATTCTGCAGCAGCGATTCTGAATAATTAGAGCTGTTAGAGTCACGAGCTGACAGCTGAACATAAGTTTTAACCAACTGAAAACGAATGAATAATCTGTTGTCCCCATGTGGTTTCAGGCTGCAGGTGCCCAGTTTGTACAACTGGATCTGCTCATTTCAGCAGACATCTGCTGCAGAATTTAATTATTAAAGATTTACAGTCGTAGAAATCTGCATCCTGCTCTGGACCCTGAATCATCAGGTTGCTAAAGTCTTACAAAGAATCATTTACTTGAATCGATTTGCCTCAGTCGGTATTTTTAGACCTAATCTGCAGCACTAGAACATAATAGTGCAGGAGGAAACCTGGATGTGTACTGGTTGAGTAAAGGGACATTAAGCGCCACTAATAGGAGATAGGAGTAGATGCATCACTTCGCTCCTCCATTGTTCATTTCCTCCCCGTCTCCAAACACGTCCTGCTGTGTGGTGAAAGTTCATGTGGCTGTGAGTTTCTATGGAAGGGCAGTTGTCTAGCACATTTGATTACAGTAAAGGACAAACCAGAACGTCGTCTGCATGAACATCGAACTTCTGGGGAACTGCAGGTCTCGGTGTTCCACCAGAATCTTTATCTGCGCCTGCTGTTTACTGCTGCAGCGTTTAGATTTAATTACTAAATCTGCTCATTTGAACACTTCCTCCCCCACAGATAAACTCTGTAGTGAGGTCTTGTTTTTATCAGCTTCGCCTCCTTACTCACCTCAGATGAATCCTGAAACGGAGGCATTTGGAGTCAGTCATTCATGCCTTCATTACCTCTCGCCTGGACTATGAAAACGCCCTCCTCATTGGTGTTCCGGACTCTGCCCTGAATCGGCTGCAGGTTGTTCAGAACGCTGCTGCCCGGTTCTTGACGGGTACACACCGACGTAGCCACATTACCCCAGTCCTGGAACATCTTCACTGGCTCCCTGTCAATTTCAGAGTGCAGTTTAAGTTACTGACTTTTGTTTTTAAAGCACTCAATGACCTGGTACCTTCCTATCTCTCTGCCCTTCTCACTCCATATGTGCCCACCCGCTCATTGAGGTCGGCTGACCTTTTGCTGCTGCACACGCCGCGGATGAGACTCAAATCGCGGGGGGATCGAGCATTTGTCCATGCTGCCCCAAAGCTATGGAACTCATTGCCCACTGGAGTTCGGCAGGCTCCATCTCTGGCGGTTTTTAAATCTCGTTTAAAGACCCACTTTTACACTTTGGCTTTTAGACAGTGACTCCTTTTAATGTTTTATTGTGTCATTGTTTTAATGTGTTCTTAGTATTTATCATGTTTTCTCTGCTTTTAATAGAGATTTTTATCCTTTGTTTTAGCTCCTTGTAATGGTTGTGTTTTGTTTTAGCCTGTGCAGCACTTTGGGCAGCTCCCATGCTGCATTTTAAATGTGCTATATAAATAAACTATGCTATGCTGTTATGTAATGAAACAATGAAAGGATTTTGTGTGAAACTTTAAACACCTGATCAACTCTAACCCTAACGCAGCGACACAAAGCTCCACGATGGCCGACAGTTGTGAAATGAATTTGTTTTTACCAAATTTTAAACTGGAGTTTTAATCCTTCAAAGACTGTTGTCCCCACCCTTCAGCGTGGCACTCTGACTCCATCAACCATGAAGTTGTGAGCAGTTGTTGGAGTCAGAACTTGGTACATAATTACACATCGTCCTCCACTCGTTGGTCTGATCCAACTGCAGGTTCTTGTGGCTCACCCTGGGGTTAATCTGTGTTTTTGCACAAGAGGGCTGATGTTACGAGACTCAGCAGAGCCGACCTGCCGGCTCTGAGACTGAATCCCTCCTTCCCTCTATCTGCCCCCCCCCCTCTGACAGGGCGTCCCTGTGGAGCTCCTGTGTGGTTCTTCCTCTGTTAGCGCTCACCTGGATGTCAGCAGTGCTCGCCATAACTGATCGCCGCTCCACACTTTTCCAGGTGAAGTGTGTCACAACACCACAACACCAAACACGCACACACACACACACACACACACACACACACACACACACACACACACACACACACACACACACACACACACACACACACACACACACACACACACACACACACACACACACACACACAGTAAAGGTGTGTTTTGTTGGCTAATGCTGACTGGCTGTGACAGCCATCTTGAATTTTATCAGCTATAGACGTCCATCTAGTTAAGAGTATCTGCAAAGTTCTTTGTGGGGGATCAAACTTTCACTTGGTCCCAAAGAAGGCAGTTCTGGATTTAGTTCTGATGTGACAGCGGTCCAAAGGACTGTTGTCTTTGACTTCATCTTCCAGAAAGGCAGCAGCGTCCCATCAACACTGCTGGTTTCTGAGCGACCACAACATAGAGGTCCAGACCTCTATCCAGTGAACTAATGCTTTCCAGCATGAGAAACACTATGAGGGGTTGAAAAAAATGAATGTAGCAGAAGGCAAAAATCTATGAGATCTTGGAGAGAATTACTCTCCCAGAGATGTCGAGTCAATTGGGTCATGGAATAAAAAAACCTTTCTAGAGCCGTCTGCAGGGGAATCCGCGGCCAATCAACCAACCAAATCAAATCACGCAGAGCAAACTCCAGACCCACATTTTTGATGTGCAACAATGAATTTAATCCCACACAAAGATGGTTAGAGACATGAAGCTGAAATATGAAACCGTTTAAACCGTCCGTACATCAAAATGAGGGTTTTTAAATCAGCTGATGTGAAATTCCACTGAATTGTTGTTCTTTGGTTTTCTTGCTGGCCTGAATTTTATTTTAAATGTATGAACAAGTACTAATAAAATACCTTATTTCTGTACTTTAGGTCCTCTTTGCTGTCTTTGATTCTGTCCAAGGATTTGTCATCATCACCGTCCACTGTGCCATGCGCAGAGAGGTGGGTCCACTTTCTTTCTTCCTGCTCCTCTGCTCGTTTCTAGATCACTTTAACACTTTGTCACCGGGTTTCCTGTGCTGGTTCGGTTCCCATCGGTAGGTGGGATTCATTTACCTTCCATTTCAGGTCACTCCGAGGCCATGATCCAACTCAAGCGGATCAGTCATGAGAGGGATTAGCATGGTTTTAAGTCCCGTGTCGTCTTGCTCATAATGCTGCGTGATAGTGCGTTATTGTCCGACTGAGCCAAGTCTGGTTTAAGGAGCTTACTAAGATGCTGTATGGAATAAGACCGTAAGTCCCAAACTAATAGCCCTGGGTGCCCGTCTGCCACAGGCTTTGCTGTGCCCTCCAGAGGACCTCATTGTGAACACATCTTCTCTTGCCCTTGAGATCGACCTTAACACAGACACTGGCACGCATCCACACTAGTTGCAGTTAATGAAATCCCAAATGGCATTGCCTTTCCATAACTGTAAATATGTAATCTGTTGCTGATGCACTGCACACAGGTTCACCTCTCTCTTCGGTGATTGCTAGGGTATTGGATGCACGGCACACTGTAAGTGAATTTTTAAATGCTCTGGATGCTTAGCTGCATTAAATCAATATCACAAAAACAGCAGGGATCAGAGTATAGTAAATCCTGGAATTATTTATTGTAAATGTATGAAAATCCCCTGCAAGAGACCGAGCGTAAGTCCTTCGTGGCTGCAGAAGAAAGAACAGACAGAGGGGAGTGCAACAGAGGAGGGGGGAAGGAGGGAAGAATAGGATGGTTAGGGAGCGTTACTGAAAGGAGACATCAAAAGTGTGATAATACTAAAGAAAACTGTTAAATGGACAAAAAGCATGCAGTGAGTGTTGTAGCGTGCTGGATTGTTGCAACATATTTTAAGTGATCAATAAGATGTCATATTCCATAAAAATATGAATTATCAATCTGACTGGTCTTTGGATATTTGATTTACTATTACCGTAGGTTCTTTGGACTATTTGGAGAACACACATTTCATATTAATTCAGACAGAGCCAAGGATGTAGTTTATAAAAATGATTTTATTCTATGTTTCTAAACTAATGATTACACATGGCAAAGTATGAATGAAATGATGGAGTGTAAGCTCGATGCTGATGTAGCAAAACCTTATTAAGTATCTGAGAGCACTTGTGATGTCTGGGTGGTAAAATCAGTTTGGCTGTATGTTTTAATAAGCTAGAGATTATTCAGAAAACCATCCCGCGCCAGTGAGGACCCACAAACCCTTTGTGTTGGAATCCCTCGTGCGATCCAGGGGTCATGAGGTCAATATGGACAGCGTGGACCTCTGGGTAACGGAACCCGTAGTTCAGCTCCGAGTACGGCCCGTCTGCTTTGAGATACCTTCCAGGTGACGGCAGGAAGCTGGCGTATCTATTTTGCATCTGATCTCACTCACAAGCATTGCAGAGAAGCCACTGACTGCTGCAACAGAGGAGGGGAGAAGGAGGGAAAAATAGGATCGTTAGGGAGCATTACTGAAAGGTGAAATCAAAAGTGTCATAATACAAAAGAGAACTATTAAATGGAAAAAAGCGTGCAGTGAGTGTGGAGTAAATGTAGCGCCATGCAGGGCACGCAATAGTTCCTCTTACATGTAAGGAGTGAGTGGAAAATGCAAGAACGCACAGATAACGTAACGTTCAGCTGAGGAGAAGAAAGACGGTGAACATTTCTAACCCTAACAACACATTGAAACAGGCGAGCAGAACGTGCAGAAGACCATGTCCTTTCTCTCACTGAACTACAACGCTGGGAAACTCTTTGTGAAGGGTGGACAGCTGCTAATAAAAGTCCCTTTTGTTTGGGAAAACCAAGTAATTCCCAATTAACCCCAAACTTCCCTGTAGGACTGATTATTATCATTTTCAGGACAACATTTTCGTTAGAAAACCCAGTTCAGTTCTGTGTCATGATGGTATATTATGGCTACTGCCAAGCAAAAACAAGAAACAGGATGCTACAAAACAAAAGGAGACATTTTGTTAATTGTGCGATGCTCTGTTGCAGCTACACCCACAACCCAACCCAGACAACTTCCATCAGTCCATCACACAAGTCTCAGACACACTACGACATTTTACCAGATAACAGTGTTGGGTTCATTTATTTGGCTTTTATCCAAAGCAGCGTACAATTTATAGTCTGTAGGGCATGTTGTGATCTGTGGGGGAAACCGGAGTACCCGGAGGAAACCCACGCATGCACGAGGTGAACATGCAACTCCACGCAGAAAGACTGCAGCCGGGTTTCGAACCTGCAACCTTCTTCCTGCGAGGCAACAGTGCTAACAGCTGTGCCACCATGCAGTGTTAAAAACGTGTTGTTCCTCAGCTTCATGACTCCAAACTTGACCTTTGCAGCTTTTTAATTAATTTTAACGGTCCTTCCATCAACGATCTTCCCCCTGTCCAGGTCACGGGGGCAACAGTCACAGCAGAAGCTCAAACCTTCCTCTCCTCCATAACCCAGACATCCCCAGGTCAGCAGAGATAATCCCTTCAGCATAGCGTGGCTTGACCTGGGGACAACAGCTCTGGGAGGCATCCAGGGGCATCCTCACCAAATTCCCACACCACCTCAGCTCGCTCATCTGGACATGAAGGAGCAGTGGCTTCACCCTTTCTCTAAGGCTGAGCCTGACCGTTCTGTGAGGGAAACTCATTTTGAGTTCTTTAGGTCATTACTCACAGCTCATGACCACAGGTGGAGATTCACTGCAGATGCTGCTCTGATCCACCTGGTGATCTCCTTCTCCTTTCATCCCTGACTCGACCCAAGACCCAAATATATGTAAGCACCTTAACTTGATGTAGGACCTCCACTGCAAAATAAAACAGAAGGACAGCTGCAGTCGGACAAAGGTAGAATGCCTTCTCTGGGTCAGGTAAGACCTGACCCAAGTGGAGGAGATTAAGTTTCTCTGGGTCTTGTTCACAAGTGAGGGAAAGCTGGAGCATGTGATCGACAGGTGGATTGCTATGCTCCAACCCTCATCTACCTGGGCTCTCCCTAAGAGATGAGAAGAAGAGAAGCTCAACCATCTGGGAGGGGCTGAGAGCAGATCTGCTGCTCCTCCACATCAAGGAGCTAGTTGAGGTGGCTCAGGCATCTAGTTAGGATACCACCTAGATGCTTTCCTGGTGAGGTTTTCCGGGCACGTCCAACCACGAGGAGGCCTAAAGGAAGGCCCAGGACATTCTGGAGAGACAATGTCTCTTGGCTGGCCAGGGAACGCCCTGGGATTCCCCCGGAGGAGCTGGCCCAAAGGGCTGGGGAAAGGGAAGTCTGAGCCTTTCTCCTCTGGCTACTGCCCCAACGGCTCGTCCCCGGATAAGCAGAAGAAAATGAATGGATGGATGGATGAACAGGTGCAGCAGAGCATAAACAAACATTCCTCTCACCAAATTGGTGATAATTAGATAAAAACGAGCCACTGCTTTGTGTTTCCTTCTCTGTTCTATACTGTCTGTTTGATAATCAATAAACTGAAGAATTTGGCCTTTTGTTTAATTTTGGACATGAACCACTACACCTGAAGCCTGTTGGAGAGCACAGAATCTGTAGAACAAGTTCCTACTGCACCAACGTTTACCGAACTAGCGTCTTGCCTGCACTGACTTCTTCCCTTTGCATCATCCCCCTCCCCAATTCTTCCCTCCTCCCTCTCTTCCTCTTTGTGTTTCCCTTTTCTTTCTGCCATCCTTTTCCCACTTTCCCACCGCAACCTCAGGTGCAAGATGCAGTGCGCTGTCGGATGGGAGGATGCAAGGACAACAGCGAAAATTCCCCAGACTCCTGCAAGAATGGACAGGTGCAGATCATGGTGAATAGCATTCCATTTCATCCCACACTGCAATTCAGCTGCCATGAGCTATATAACAGGCCAATGCAAACCTGGCTTTTTCCCTCCATCTTTACCATGTTTACCTCAATACGTGCTTACTAATATTTCTACATTTTGCATTTTCACCACCAATATTCCAGAGACTGGAATTTGTTTCCTTACAGATTCTACTGATACTGTCTAGTTCCTAACCTAGCTATCTTCATTTAAATAGAAAACTCTGCTAGAATGCCATTTTTCTAAATTAACATTATCGCTGTTTCTCCCATCCATTCTTATTGTTGGTTAAAAAACTAAACCTGGTGTCTCTGCAGTACTTTAACAGCTTTTAACCTAAATGTCTTTTTCTTTCCTGCAGGAGCACAGAGCTCCCATAAGGTTTTAGTGTGTGCTCCAAAAGTGGGTAAAAATGTGATAAATGACAGGAACCTGAACGCCTCGCCTAAGTCAGGACGGTCACACCACAAATACGAGCAGCAGACATTTACTGGTGCCTGTTTAGTACTCTAAACCTGCCTCTTCAGATTCTCGTACACACAGAATTGTTGCGTAAATGACAGACTACCCTACACCAGACATGAATTTCACCTCCGCTGGAGGACTGTGTCTGCATTTCTACAAAGGAGAAGGTGTCCAAAAACTCATTTGAACTATTTTCACATTTACTAAACATTGAGATGGGCTTTTAGACCATCCCTTACAAGAAAAAGGCATTTCTCTCCTTTTTTCAGTTTTATATCTTATTTAGGCTGTGATGGACTGGCAACCTGTCCAGCGTGCACCTCACCTGCTTGCCCAAAGATTGCTGGCACCAGCCCCCTGTGACACCTGTGTGGACAAATGGGTATAGACAATATATGGATGGCTTTTATTTGGGGAACTTTTTAGCGCATGTTTACAAATGATACAAAGATTAGTTAAAAATGTGTTTTGAAGGAACAGCTGACCTGCTAGTTTAATGATTATCAAACATGCTGCCTGCCTTTGGCTTTAATAATTAGTCTGAACCAAGATGGCCGACGGATTTTTTAGTTTTGGCCTGGTGTCACAACAAAAGAATCCAAATGTGTGACAATCCTAATTTATGCTCTTTTCTTTTAATGTTTGGTAAAAGCTGGTCCTGTTGCAACCAATCACACCATCATCCTCTCCAGATTCTGCAGGATTCATTCAATCAGTTTATTCATATTCTGTAGCACCACATGACAAGTCGTCTCAAGGCTGCTCACAAAGTAAACATTCCAGTTAAACCTACTCATCTGTGCAAAGAAATCAGTCCATTATGCCAATTAGTTCAAAGTTTTCTACGTAAGAAAACCCAGCAGACTGCATCGAGTCACTGACTCGTTGTGTCGGAGACCCCCCTCCCTACTGCCGGTGGTATTTATACCACAGCTTGAGATGAAAGTCCGCACACAACGAATGATAGTTAGTAACTGAACTACAGTGAACACCTTTGACTCAGGTGCTATAAGGGGAACCAATCTGATTAACATGTTAAACTCTTGACATATAAAGAGCTAATAAAGAAGTCAAATTGTCACCAAACTGAAAATACTTTTGTGAAAATTAGCAGAGCTCTGATTAGCACTCTGCTAAATTAATCAGATATCTGCCTCTAACATTTCAACTTTATGGTGTTTAATATAAAAATCAACTTTTCTTTCATCAGAAGAGTGCGAGCATGGGCATCTGTGGACAGCAGCATGGTTTCCGTCACAGCACGCCCCTGTGCCTGTCTGGCTGTCACTCACAGCCGCCGCCGCCGCCACCGACGTGCCAGCAAGCCTGTCATCACACTCTACCTCGCAGCACCCGCAGCCACGTGCTAGACCACAGCCCAGCACACGAGCACACCCCCTTACTGAGCAACACCCATGCCCCTAATCACAGCAGCAGCCGATCAGTACGTCATCTGTAGATAGAAATGAGCAGAATTAAAGGTGCAATCTGTAAAGAAATATTCTGCAACAAATACAAAGAAAAGAGGATTGATAAACTAACAGGAAGTTTAAGCAAAGCTAGTTTTAAACTGAACTGATGCCATCTTCCCCAAAAAAGTGAATTAACACTAGAACTCCCAGGAACCGTCAGTTTGACAGCTGTCATTTTGGCCATTAAATCCAGGCTGACGATGATGCTGTGGAGCAAAATGGTTCAAGTGTGTTATTAATAAACTCTTTATGGATGTGTGACCCTAATAAAATGGGAAGAAAATGTAATTTTAATCCAAACCTTGAAAAGAAGTCTCTCTATTGTTCGCTGGGTTACCAACACTGATCTTCTACGTGGGTGGGGGCGAGGGGTCCCAGACCGTCGTCAGCGTTGCTGTCAGAGCGTCTGCTGCTTCCCACTGACCAGTTTTCATCAGCTTTCCCCTCTCCACCTGAAGCAGATTCATTTCTCATGCTTGTTTCACTGAGAATGTTCTTCTAAAAGCTGTTTATTTCACACGCAGTACGAAGGGAGAGGGAGCGCGCGAGCTGGAAAGGTGGTTGCTTAGCAACGTCGACGCTGTCCGTTATCCGCGGGAAAACATTACCATGTAAACAATACAGCTGTTAAATTGACGGCTTGTGGGAGACAAAGACAAAAAATAGCTGATATGATCGACCTTTTTCCCCATCTCTTTCATTTTTTAAATAGTAATTAATAAACATTCGATACCATTACAATTTCCTTTGATTTAATTTTAAATAAATATATAGAGTGCCCAGGTAGCACATAAACAATGCAATTTAACGGTTTTCTTAAAGTAGGAACGTTTAACCTGTGCGGCCAGAGCGCTCTCCTTCCTTCTGCTCTGCGTAAACCTGAACTGGTCACCTACTTGTGCGTAATCAAATGTCTGTACGGGAAAAGATGGAATTGCCATGAGGTTCACTTTTGCCTCAGACCGACATATTGCTGTTTTATGGTGTGGCTGAATCTGCGATCCGCTGCCACGCGGACTAACAAATGCTGCAGTAAGGAGTAGTGGGTCAGGTTCATGAGGAGTCACTGGCTGTAGCGGACCCGACTTTAATACGTCATCCCAAAATAGAAGCTAATATCTTAATTTGACCTTGAATGAAAAATATTGTTATAAAATCTTAAAAGTTTTTATCACGGAGAAGGCAGCTCTCATTTTTGCTTTCAGTCTGACGGCGCGCCGGAGTTTGCAGCGTGCGCGCTTATTGAATCTGTGTGTGTGTGTGTGTGCGCGCGCGCGCGGCACAGTTCCATGAGCCGCTCCAGTCACAGCGTCTCGTTAATGGCGCTATTTAAACCAACGTTGTAAAATTACTTCTGCCCAGCCCAGATGTGCTCACATGTGCACCCGTGAGCCGTGATCTCTGACAGACGCACTCTGAACTTCAGATCTTCAGCGTGCTGTTAATAGCCTGAATGTGAATTATTTCTTGATTTATTTTGTTACATCCACAATGTTCTGTGTGTGAGGTTTACAATGTCAGAACACCTGCATGAGACAGGTGTTAATTACAATCTGCCAGAATGACTCGCCACCTTCAGATTCCTCCAACACCGTTAAAAATTATCAAATACGGAACATATCGGCGTGCGCAGGCCAGAGTGCTGAAGCTCGGCGCATTGTTATTATGAAGCTAGGGCACATGTGGAGGACACACGCGCAAAAATATACTTGTTTTCAATTACATTTATTGTGCCCACTTACTTTTTCTTAGGCTCACCCACAAATGAGGTTCTACGCTAATGGTGACATATGACAGACTTCTCTGAGCTCCGCAGCCATTACACTTTTCACCTCGCGCACCCCCTAGCGGCAGCTCACGCACCCCCGGGGGTGCGCGCACCACACTTTGGGAATCCCTGCTGTAGATGAACACATGAATGAGTTTCTCTAGGTCTTGTCTGGACATCAGACCTCTGAGTCGTGCTATTTGATGAAGATGATAGTTATGGCTTTAATGTGACCAGTGAAGATCAGGTCTGAATCAATGATGACACCAAGATTTCTAACCTGGGTCTTTATTCCTCTGGAGCCAAGCTGAATGATGACCTCTATACTATTTTTGTTATTCCAAAGACAAGAACTTCAGTCTGTCTTTGTTTAACTGGAGGAAGTTTGACTGCATCCAGTCATCAGTTTGCTCCAAACATTGACAGAGCGAGTCTAGGGTACTATAGGTGATAGAGCTAGGTAGACCTGGGAGTCATTTGCATAACTACTGTATGTAGGCAATGTTGTTATTGCGTATGACCCATTGGTTCTTTATATAATGGACAAGCCCTCCATGCCATCACCTGAAGGGTTATGAAGAGCTTAATCAAAACCCAGTGGGCATGGTTCTGGTCACTTCTGCAAACTACAAAAATGGAGCTGATAGAGGGGCTGTGAGGGTGGGGCAGATGGTTGACACCCTCTAAACTCTGAGATGATGTATCTACAAACTAACTGAGCTAACTGAAGCTAACGGAGGTTGGTGCGTGCTTTTATTTTTTTTTTTATTATTATTTTTTTTTTATTTATTTATTTTTTTATTTATTATTTTTTTTAACGTGTCCTGTCTGGCTGTGAAGCAAGCAGAATTGATGTCTGAATGCTGGTAACAAGCCTTACAGTTTTACTCTCAGGTGGAGCATCAGAGCATCTGCTTTTAATGTCTCAGGTGGAGCATCAAAGAGTCTGCTTTTAATGTCGCACCTGATATTTAAAACTTTATTGTTATTGTTTTTGAATGCTTTGTAATTTCGACCAGACACGGAGACAGAGGTGAAAGAGAAAGGAAAAGAGAAAAGGTGGGGAGAGAGGGGGTTAGGTGGGGGGGGGATTCAACAAAAATAAACAATAATGAACAAGAGTCTGCTTCTAGACCTGCAAAATGAGACGAGAAAAAAGCAAAACATAACAAAAAAATGGGACACAACACCAATATAACAAAATCAAGCTATCACTGTGTCAACTTGATGAAGAAATATATAATCAATCATTGTTTAACTAAACAGTCACACGATAA